AAAAAAAAAATACTGAAACGCACTCGAAAAACGCAAATCTCAAAAATTGGATATATTGTCGTTCAGATGGGTATCCTTACATCGTATTATATCAACAAGGAYTTTATTGAATTCTGGTGCTTTCGAAGTATATCAAGTGAGAGTACCAGAGATTACCACTTGATGTGCTAAAARAAGTTTCTAGGTAACAATCACGCATCGGGCGGAAATATACGTCGTATTCGTGTATCCTATTGAATACATTACGTTCCTGAAAGAATCTACTAAACGCATGTACTACATCGCCCATATCAAAGATATCGTGTTACAACGTTGGCGTGAAATGCATTTTGTGATTTTTTTTATAGGTTTATTATCTAGTGAAAATCTGAACAATGAAAATAACTCCACTGCAGAAATACACTTCAGCGAGTCTTCGTTTAATTAATAAAACAATATTATGGAAGAGCTGTATAATCATAATTATAATAATATAAAGCATTWCGTTCTGTGGTACTACCAGCTTTTCTTTGTTTGTTTGTGGTTATAAATTTTAGTTGAAATAATAACGTAATATACTGCAGCGCACGTCTCACGAAGATTTACGATTTCGATGTGATGCTGGTAACAATATGCAAACACTCTATTAACTCACCACTTTAAATTAGTTCAAATCCTCGTGGGATGCCCTATGTGATACGTATGCATTTAAATATTGAACGATCGTATGAATAAAACTGTTATTGATACAACGACGATACTATTATCGGAATTGCGGATGCTTAACAATCAACCTATAGGTTTAATAAAATATTACATAATACTGAATGTGAATCGTTAGGTAAAATAAAGGTCACGAGATGTACGAATACGAATCGTAATATTATTTTTAACACCGTCGTAAAAGACCTGCAGTGCATGTGGTGAAGTATTTCACAGCCGATCGAGGCGAATGCAAGCGACCTGCGAATACGTCATACTATTATTATTATTGTTTAGTTTAGACGGTCGGCGCTATCTCTAAGTGTGAATCAAACGACGAGTGCCTTCACTAATTATTYCTGGAATTGCAAGTCATGAATACATCCAAACCCTCGCGTGCCGTATAATAAGTGTCGACAGTGCGAATATATTATTATAATAATTATTATCATAGTGATATTAAATCGCGTTAAACAGTTCGGTCTCGGAAAACCATTAATTGAAACGAGACACGGAATACACCAAAAAATGAGGTCTATCAAAATGTTATTAGTAGTTTAGTGGATCCTAAACGCGAGGTGTGACTATTTAATAATAATTCCATTGGATTAGCCATAAGGTGCAGTGGAAATACGAAAATAATATTTGGATTTGTATTAACAATTAACATAATATCTTCATAGGAAAATACTGGATGAAAAAATTGCGTAGTGACTACAGCGTATACATTTAAGATTTGTAGTAAAACTCGGAAT